GGGGGGGGGAGAGAGAGAGAGAGAGATGTTGGTATCATCCCTCAATTCTTTGGCTTTGTCATGGCTAGGAAGGTGGTTTCTGTCCTCGGGCAACTTTGGCTTTGTCATGGAAAGCTATCAATGGTATCATCCCTCAATTCTTAAGGTTTGTCAGGTAAGATGTTGGTACTAGGATTCTATCTTGTCTTGGGAAGATGTTTGGATTGGTAATTCTTCTCTTAAGGACCATTTCCCTGCTTTGTATTCTATTTCTTTGTTTAAAAATGAGCCTATTTTAAGGTTTCTCACTCATCCTTTGTTTCTTGTGAATTCTAATTGGGATTTTGGCTTCAGAAGGAGACTAAGAGACAGTAAGCTTACTAAGGTTGCCGAGTTGTTAGAAGCCTTGGGGAAAGCTTGTTTTGATTTATCTTTTCTTGATAGATGTGTTTGGACTCCCCATCCAACAGTTTTTTCCCCTCTTGTGCCTCTTTCTTTGGGTTTCTGTGTTCTTGTACCCTTGTTCAACCTTTCTCCAAAGAAATTTGTTTTAGTCCTATTCTCCCTAGAGTTGGTGCCTTTTGTTGGGAAGTTTTTCATGGGAAGATCAATACTTTGGATAATCTGCAAAAAAGGGGATGTCTTCTTTGTGTGTCCTTGAATTGGTGCATTCTTTGCAAGGCTGATGGGGAAAGTTGTTACCACATACTAATCTCCTGTCCATTTGTTGCAGGTATTTGGGAGTGGTTCATATCTTTATTTGGGTGCAAGTGGGCCACACCATTGGATATGAGTGGGTTGTTTGGTCCAACCACCTTTTAGCTCCCAAGGAAAAGTGGGAGAACTTTATGGAGATGTACAAGGGCAACACTGTTATGGGCCATTTGGGAAGAATTGAATCCAATAATTTTTCTTGAGCCAGCAAGAAGTAAGGAAGATGTGAAAAATTGTGCTATGACGAGGGTATACATTGGGTTAGAACATTGGATATTTTTTCATACCTCTCCTTTGATGACATTTGGAGAAATTGGGGTGAGGTGGCAAGAAGTTCTTCAAGAAGGGGGAGTGTGTGACTTTATCAAGTTAAACTTTGATGGAAGTAGCCTCGGTTACCCGGGCCCTCAGAAATTGGAGGGGTTTTCAGAAATAAAGATGTAAATATCATTGCTTTATTCTCAAGGCCAGTGGGCGTGGGGGACTCAAGGCTATAATTCAAGGGCTACAGATAGTGAAAGAAATGAACTTGAACAGGTTAATTGTTTAAGAAGACTCATTCCTATATTTTTTATCACACCAGTTAAAGTGTTGGCCATGTACAAGGACCCTTGGAGATGGCTTGACAATTAATTAACAAAGAGATCTAGAGAATGTAGCTTAAATTATATAAGAAATAGTTTTAGAAGGGAATAAAAATCACTGTTAGTGTGCAATTCAAAAGCCAGACTTTCAATGTAGATCTCTGCAATTTACGGGTCACAGTTCTTGGAGAAGAATACAATTGTATTGGTGAAGAGTAGGAGATAATTTCGAAGTACTTGCAGCTACAACAGTATCATCCTTCTTCCAACCTCCTCCTTACCGTTTCAAGATCAAGATGTTTCTGGACCAAACTTCTGTACCTGGTCGTATCCTGCAACTCCAAAAAAGTTCTTCTGCAGCTACCACGTAGTTTTCCTTCCTGTAAGTGGTATTCCAGCACAGTATGGAAATTATGTCTTTTTGCAGAACCTTGTTAAGTGAAAATTAGGAATCTGAGTATGGGTATTTATGTCAATTTCCTCTCAGCATAATGTCAGTTATGCAGAGTTGGACTTTTTTTGATCAATAACAAGTGAGTTTCATTAATCATTACTAAATTTAATACAAAAGGGGAGATAAACTATCTTAACTCCCCAAAGAGAGGCAGGGGCCCCATAAGAAAATAAAAAATACAGAACTACAGTTGAACCCAGAACAAAGAATCCCTAAGCACCCCTTGCTTGGCTAACCCATCTGCAAATGAGTTAGCAAATCTCTTCACCCAGCTGTACTTTATCTCAATGTCCTTAGCCAGCCACCTGAATCTTTTCCTTTCATTGCTGTAACTCCACATTCTGCCCAGTCTCCCACCTGGTTCAGATGAAACAGCTCTACTAAGTTTACCAGGGCCACTTCCTTTCTTGGCCACATCAGCATAAGAAAGCCTGCCCCATTGTCCTCCTTTAATTAAAAAAAGGTTGAATTTATTACCTTATATGGATGACTTGTTGATTGGTTTTCCTCTTTTGACTGTTCCACTTCCTTCTAAATTCTTTCCTTCGCAGCATCCTTCTCCTCCACATCCCTATAGCCACGTGTACTCCAGCCTGCCACCTCATTATTGTCTTCAACCTCAGTCTGTCTTTCCCACAGAGACGCTTCAGCTTCAGATGCCAACGATACCTGATACCAAGCACCATCTAAGAAAACTTCGAATGATCGAGGCATATTTTCTGGTTTTATTCCTGCAAATCGAAGCTCTACTGCACGCAAGTTCCTCTGATATATTTCCAGCAGAACTCCTCCCAAGGTTTTCACAATATTTCCAAGGATCAATTCATCCATAAATTAAGAGGAAGTCCTAACAACTTTAATATGAAGCTGCCTTCGAGTTCGATCTCATTGCAGATTGGAGTCCTGTTTTGAATCTTTACCAGACCTCCATCTACATTTACCATATTAAAACTAAGCTCCATGTCACTGACATCGAGAACTGTTTTCCTTTATGCAAACAGAAGTAAAACTGCATCTATTTCAATTCCTACTTTCTGTGCTACTGCATCCAAAATTTTTGTCCAATTCTTAATCACCTTATCAGCCGTTAGGGTCATTTGCCTAGTCCACTTATCTCTCCCTGCTTCAAACATCATTCTCCGCTCTCCAGTGCCCAGTTGAGCATGCTACCACCACAAGTCCTGCAGTGGGGGACTCTGTTCCTCACTATCCTCTTGTATGCTGGGATTTTCCAGAGCCACCTGACTCCCTTGGGTTTGCTCGTCGTTATCTTTGTTAACCATAATCTTATTTTCACTCACCTTCCTTTCAGCAGCTAGAAGAAAGAGATGCGGTTTGTTAGCAAAGGAGGTCCATCCCTGCCCCTTCATCTCCTCTGGCATGCAAATCATTTTTTTTTTCTTGGTGCCAAAGTTCTCTGTAACAAAAATATACCATCCCTTTCCATTCCTTCTCAACTCCACTTCAAAGCTTTCTCTGATAACACCATGGAGTTTTTCCAACCTTCTTCCCTGCAAGAATTAGCTGCACCATTGACAAAGCCCTTCAACCAGAGCGTTGCTTTTTCTGGTAGGAGGATTGTCTCTCTGCTGCCTTCTCTAATTTCAGCAGACTCTTACTTTAGACCAACTATGTTCGAACCTGAAGTTTTTTGCTTCAATCATCGGCTCAGATCACCACCTATCAGCCATCCTGAAATCACTGTTGCCTCTCACCTCTCGCTCCATTATCTGTGGGAGGCGATCTCAAGTGCTAGCAATTGAGCATTTTCATCCAACTTTGCCCTGTTCCAAGCCATGTCCCCAACATGAGAAATTGCATTAAAATGAAAAGCCTGGGTACCACAGGGGAGAAGTGATGGGAGTTGCCAGATGTCAAACCCTGTAAAGAAAAGAATTCGATTGATTATGCAGAGTTGGACTTGAATGTATATTTCTGAAAATTCTAGGTACTTGATTGTTGCACTTGAAAGTTCAGACCCTTAAGTGTTACTACCCCCAAAGTACTGGATGCCTATCTTGAATTTACCCTTTTTTTGTTTTGAATTAATGAGCTGCCTTTTTGAGGCTTGGTGTAGGATGGGTAGGGATCCCTACAGATTTAGCAATGGTGGGCTAGAAGGGAGTAAATCTGATATGAGATACAGGGAAGAGAATTAAATCTGTAAATAGTGAGATGTTCAAATCTGTATAGATGGAGAGAGAATAAGAAGCTTGACCTGGAATTATATCTAAACTCTAATTAGCAGAGTTTTCAACCTGTCATTGACCCGGATGGTTGAACCATTCAAACTGCCACCTGGTCTCAATTCCAGGTCCGGTTCTCCTAAAATCCAGAGTTCCTTGAAAACCCGTTTACTTGGTCAAGAACCATCCGACTCAGGCGGTTGAACTGTTGACCTGTTCAACCTGGTCAATGGGTCATGGGTTGCACACTAAAACTTATGGAGGCCATAACTTTGTTTTTGATTGTCTGATTGGGGTGATCTTTGTATTGGTGTAACTTTTCGCAAACTACACATCCCAAGGAGCTGAAGGCACCTTGCCCCTCTATTTTTGCCAAAAAAATCCTTTTGGGCTCAAATCCCAACTTTTAGCATTTTTATAAATAAAAA